TCAACAGCTGAGAGACAGGTGTGTGCAGGGTCAGCTCTGCTAGGGAGGGGAGGAGCAAGAGACACACATCGTGAAAACCTAGCGAATTCCCCCTAAGGGTGCTTTTCTCTTTCTCTCTGGAGGCTCCTTGGTTGGAGAAGACTAGTGAGGAGCTGGTGGGACCAGAGAGGGGGAGAGGAGACTGTACCAGGGGGGCTTCCCCCCTGCTCTCCCCTCTCCCCCTACCAACTAGGAGCTCACCAGGGCTGGGAGGGAAGTGGCTGAGAGCTCACTGGCACCCCCTCGGCCCCAGAGAGGGAGCCCACAGCTGTGGGAGGGGCTGCCACTGCCGCTGCCGCTGCCGCTGCTGCCGCTGCCGCCGCCGCCATGGGACAAACCTCACCAGTACCTGCAATGAGAAGCACCACGATCGCAGCGCACCCTGAATGGGGAGAGCCATGCCCTTTACCCAGACGCCCCTGGGACACAGCCGTTGTTCACTTCCTACCGGGTCCCCAAGCTCTGGCCTGCCTCCTTAGCGGGACGAGGGTTCTCCTGAAGGGCCCTCCTTGGCCCCCAGATCTCCCTAGCCTGAGCTGGCCTTCCTGGGATCCCCTAGTGGGGCCCTTTGAGCCCCATGTCCCACACACCTCATCCCGCCCCCCAGCCATGCCCCACGCCTTGCCTGGTGGGTGCGGGGGTCCCCCTCAGCAGGTGGGCTGTGGCTGGGGGGCATCTCCCGGGACAGGGGGGGCGGCCCCCCCCAGATGGGTCTGCATGTGGCCGGCCAGCTGGGCAGGGGTCTTGCAGTGCACGCTGCACAGCTTGCACAGGATGCGGTCAGCCCGCGGGGCCTGGAGCCCGTGGTCCTTCACCGCGTGGATGCGCAGGTATGCTGTTGTGGTGAAGCCTGAGGGGGTTGGGATTGGGGAACGGGGTCAGCCAGGCGGAGACCCCAGAGACGGGGCTGTTCTCCTAGGCTGGGGCCAGTTTCTCAGCCTGGGTACCTAGCAGCGGCAGACGGAGCCCTAGCTACCTGAGGGGCGGACTCTCGGCAGACACGGCTGTGTCCCACCCCTCCAGGGCCCCAGTCTCAGCCCAGCAGCTACCGGGGCAGGCAGTGCTTCTTAAATTCCCGCCCGGCGCCCTGCGGCGTCCTGTACTTGTCCCGGGGCTGGAGAAAAGAACTTGTGGCTGCGCAGCTGAAACCTCGCCCTCTGACCCTCGGCCGGCCCTCGACCAGGCCTTTCCCGCACGGCCACGCCCGCTTCTAGGGGGTGGCTCAGGTGCCCC